TTTCAATTAGCGCGCGCGCATGTCGAAGTTCATCCAACACCTTCGTCGCCAACGCGTGGACACCGTTACCGTCAGCGACGCGGGCAGCATCGGCGCCGTCGTTTGCCTTGCCGTCGTCATCGTCATTGTCATCGTCCTCACTAGCATCACTGCAAACATCATCGCGTCTGCCGTTGTCGACGTCGCCATGATACCGTGCCCGCCCGAGTCGCCGACCTACGCTGCCGCGCGTCATCGCGGCCTGTGAGGCGCGATGGAAAGTCCCCAGCGGTCAGCGCCACCGCGCCCGCGTCGGTCGCGCCAGAATAGCCGGCCGCTCTGCGCGCGAGCCTGCGCGCGCTAGTGCGGCCGCGGCGATGCGCCAGCCAGCGACGAGCAGGCATCGCAGTTACCTGCTCATGGGTTTTGCATGCCGAGTTGCGGGTGGGGTGGGGTGGGGGGTCGGATCATTGCGCGAGCAGTGGAACAGACAGCTCACTGCGAACCATGGCTAACTGCATCACATGGGTTCTCTTTCCTACGAAGGAAGGAACTACGATGCCCCCAGGATTTCCTTCCTCTGTGGATGTGCAAGTTTCAGATGTTTCTGTCCCATCGTTCATTTTGTATTTCGATCCGTACCATCCCAGACGGGCGGGCATCGCGCCCCCCCACCATCCGCTGCACAAAACAATATGCGCGCACGCCCGTCTGCCAAACCTGATTCATACTGAAGTACCCCTTGCAAACGTTCGTCGCGCGCGCAGCAATATGTCAAACACCATCGATGTCCCACTTGTTTCTCTTTTTCAGATGTGTATATATATATATGTATATGAAAAATCGATTGCGCCGAATACATGTTCTAGACACTTCGCGTATCACCACCGACCCATCCAGAAACGATTTCCAGGCGAGTTGAGGTGACCAGGGAAGTGCAGGAACAAAAACGGGGACGGTCGAACCGTGCGAAGGAGGAGGGAGGATAATGAGGAAATTGGATGGATGGATGAGGAAGTGTGGATAAGGAGGATGAATATAATGATGATGATGATGAGGAGGCGGAGGAGGAGGAGGAGGAGGAGGAGGAGCAGGAATAGGAGGAGGAGGAGGAGGAAGAGGAGGAGGAGGAGGAAGAGGAGAGGAGGAGGACGAGGAGGAGGAGGAAGAGGAGGAGGAGGAGGAGGAGGAGGAGGAGGAGCAGGAGGAGGAGGAGGAGGAGGAGGAGGAGAGGAGGAGGAGGAGGACGAGGACCAGGACGAGGAGGAGCAGGAGGAGGAGGAGGAGGACGAAAAGGAGCAAACAGTGGAGGAGGAGGAGGAGCAGGAACAGGAGGAGGAGGAGGAGGAGGAGGAGGAGGAGGAGGAGCAGGAACAGGAGGAGGAGGAGGAGGAGGAGGAGGAGGAGGAGGAGGGAGGAGGAGGAGGAAAGAGGAGGAGAAAGGAGGAGGAAGAGGAGGAAGAGGAGGACGAGGACGAGGACGAGGAGGAGGAGGAAGAGGAGGAGGAGGAGGGAGAAGCAGGAGGAGGAGGGCAAGCAAAAGGGTCAGATGTCTCTTGGATGCCTTTTCGGAGCCTCTTGGGATATCTCTTGGGCCCTTTTTCGTGGCGCTTTGGGGCGCCTTGGAGGTCTTTTGGCATTCACGGGGGGCTCTTTGGCGTTTTGGGTCTCTTGGGGTCGCTTGGGGATCTCTTGGGGGCCTCCTGGGGGCCTCTTGAGGGCCTGTTGGGGCCATCTTGGGGCCATGTTGGGGCACATTGGGGCCTCGTGGGCGCTTCTTGGGGCCATCGTGGAGGACATCGATCAAACAAGGGGGGTCCTTAATTTCGGCTGTCCTCCCAAAAAGCCAACATAGGGCCATGACCTTGTCAAAACCATTGATTTTGGCTTCCTCGCCGAGGCCGTTTTGGACGCCCTGACCGCTCGCGAACCCCCCCGTCCAGGTCCAGGGGGGGGGGGGGTACGGGAAGGGGTGAACCCCTCCCCGAAGGGGAAGAAGGGTGGTGGACGAGGACATTCCCTAAACCACCTACGCCCAGGAGGGCTGGTGGTATTAAACATATGGTGTTGTAGCAACAGTCTGGGATCGTCTCTTCTCATGGTTTTGCCGATCGGCGCGGGCCTTCGCGACCCCCCCACGGTGCAGATCTTGGCTGTTTTTTTTGGCGTCTGATTCGAGCGAATGCCCCCCCCCCCCCCCCCCCCCGCGTAGGACGCATTGCTGTAAGCAGTCGCATTCAGCAGAGGTCTGGGGCCACCCCCCTCCGCCTAATGTCGATGCGCCGCGTAAGAAAACGTTTAATTGAAACAACTTCTCGCGTGCTCTTGCGATTCCGATTGGGAGCCACAGTTTGTTTTCGATTCCCCGCGTGTTCATCTTGTGCGACCGAACGGACCTTGCGCGCGCGCGCTTGTCGGCATCATTCGACCGTGTGGGGGCGCGATCCTTCTCGGATAGTGCCGCGCGGGCCGCCTGCGCCCGTCGGCCGAGCGCGCGTGTCGATGTCCTTCCAACACCCTGATCGCCGACGCGTGGCCGCCATCGCCGTCGTCGGCGTAGTCAGCATCGGCGCCGCCATTGCCTTTGCCGCCGTTGCCTTCGTCTTCTTCTTCTTCGTCGTCGTCGTCGTCGTCGCTGGCGCCGCTGCAATCGTCGTCGCGTCTGCCGTTGTCGACGTCGCTGCGATGCCGCTCCCGCCCGAGCTACCGATTCACGCTGCCGCGCGTCAGCGCTGCCTGTGAGACGCGCTTGGAAAGGCCCCAGCGGTCGGCGCCGCCGCGGCCGTGTCGATCGCGCCAGACTAGCTGGCCGCTCTGCGCCTCATTGGTTTTGCGTGCCTTGTTGCGCGTGGGTGGGTGGGCTGACTGCGCGGGCAGTGGAGTTGACATCCCAGTGCCAACAACAATAAAGTCCGCATCGTAGTCTGCTCCGCATACATGCCCTGGTCTAACGCGGAGCTCGGATCCACTGCCCCCTGGGGCTGGACGCACCCCCCTCTGTGGATGTGCGGCTTACATGTGGTTTTGCCCCGTCGTTCATTTGGAGTATTTGGAGTATGAACCCATGCGATCCCAGCCAAGCCGGTCTTGACCCCCCCATCACACGCATATGCGCACACACGCACGCGCGCGCGCGCGCCCTCGCCCCACCCTCGCCCCTTGCCCCAATGACATTATGCGCGCGCATTTTGTTGGGACAAATCGTTCGTTTTCAAGAACCGATTGCCGCGCATGACGAAGTGCACGTGCGCGTTGTCGCGCGCTTGCCATCTTCATTCGCAATAACGAAAGTTCGTACGGATTGCAGCATCGAGTGTCCCGAACACATATAAGTGAATGCGCATAAAGCGTCGAGGATTTCAGCATCGAGTGTCCTTTTCCTAGAAAATGGTTAGGATCTGTCCCTTACCCATCCCCCGGGATTACCCCCCCGTGGGGATGTGCAATGTACATCTGATTCTGCCCCGTCGTCCCTTGCAAAAAACAACAGCGTACGCGCGCTCGTCTTCATCTTCAAAAATATGCCCGCGCGGATCGTCGCGCGCATGCCAAAATCCCCCCTGGAACTTCTGGTGTCGCGCGGGGTCGAACACAGAATGCCCCGAACACATGTTTAACAACGAATGGTTCGCAATCGGAATTTTCAAAAATGATTGCGCTCGCGCTCTTTTGAAGGCGTCGGTTTTTCAGCCTTGTCATCATGTCTAACGCCCTCGCGCACGCGCTGTCGCGATAATACCAAGGAGGAAATCGGGCGGAGTGCGCGCCCGCGTTGCGCACACGCGCTTCAAAACTTCTGGCTTCGCGCAGGTTTCAACATCGAGCGTCCCGAACACACGGGATAACAATAGTTTCGCAACAAGTTTTTTTTTTCAAACTTGCTAGCGCTCTCGCTCTTGCGAATTCTCAACAAAGCCAGGGTCTGTCAACGTTTTTATGACGTCTTGCCAAGCGTGCCTGTCGCGGGCGTGTGTCGGAATCATGCGAACACCCCTGCGCGCGTGCTTGGGTGGGGGGGGGGGGGGCGACCCTTGTCAAGTGATGCTATGCGGGCCCCTCGCGCGCGTCGGCCGCGCGCGCGTGTTGAAATCACTCCCAAACCTTCATCACCGATGCCAGGACACCATCGCCGTGATCGGCGTGATCGGCATCGGCGCCGTCATTGCTTTTGCCGTCGTCATTGTCATCCTCGGTGCCTGCATCGCTACTATCATCATCGTGTATGCCGTTGTTGACGTCGCCATGATACCGCGCCCGCCCGCGTCACCGACTGCATTGACGTCCCCGCGCGTCAGCGCGGTTTGCGAGGCGCTGGGACGTTCCCATCGGTCAGCGAGACCGCGGCTGCGTCGGTCGCGCCAGACTATTTGACCGCTCTGCGCGCGAGCCTGTGCGCGCTAACGCAGCCTCAGCGATGCACCAACCAGCGCCGAACAGCCATCGCAATGGCCGCCGCATTGGTTTTGCAAACCAACTTGCGGGCGGGTGGGTGTTATGATTGCGACAGCATGGGAAATGGGCGCGCGCGAGGAAAACAAAACCAGTGCCACCCCCCACATAGATTGCGCCACATAGGTCACACCACATTCGTGGACGTCTCAACGTATATCGCACTACACAAATTGCACCACGTCGATTGTATCACATAGGTTGCACCACGTAGTTTCACATATATTGCACAACGCACCTTGGTATAAAGACGCTGTTGGGGTCTACGGCTGGCTAACATGTATGGGTTTACGAATATGTGCTATGTTTATGTCTATATGTGTGTGTATACATATGTAGGTGCACACACACATATATATGTATTTATATATATATGTATGTCTGTTGATGTTTGTGTAGATCTATATGTATATGTAGATGTAGATGTAGCCTTAGATGTAGATGTATATGTATGTGTGTATGTATGTGTATGTGTCTATGCATATGTGTACGTTATGGCTCCGCATCGGTGGCTCGCTCGCTCGCCCGTCGACTGGGCCCTTGGAGCCCGTTGGCCGCCAGCGCGCCGCCAGGTGGCACCTGGCAGGGACCCGGCGGGCAGGCCGCTGGACACGTGCTGCAAGGCCTGTGCCGAGGGCGCGCGCCGGGGCGAGGTGGGCGTCCACGCCGCGGCCTCGGCCGGAGCTCCCCCAACCAGCCTCGATCTCATCTGCATCTCGAGCCCAAGTGCGGTGACAATCACGGAGGTGCGCCCGCAGAAGCCGAGGGATCCTTGCAACGGCATCGAGGCCAGGCGATGCCAATCTTGGGGATAGGGATACGTTCCAGGCTGGCAGTCCTCTTCTGCGGGCCCGATCGGGGCTCACGTAACCCAAAAATGCTCGCGTGGGAAAAAGCGCGACAGGGAGGTTTTCGACTGTTTGCGGCCTCCCGGGGCCTTCGCCGGACCCGGGGACCGTCAAGAAACGAGTCGGGATGAAAAACCGAGGGAAGGGCCATGATTTCTGGACACTGTGTTGAACACTGTTTGGACATCGCATGTCTTCGGCGGGCTCGGTGAGAGGAGGGAAGTGTACCAATCTCGCTAGTAGGGAGTCGGCAACAGAATTGATGTACCCAGGAATTGTTTTTCACGAGCTGACAAAACATGCTCAGGATGCTCCGTACATCGACGGAACCCTTTTCGACAAATCAAATCTGGGGCAACTCAATTCTTTAGTCCTTGCCCCATTCGATTTTTGTGCCTCGAGGAAGGCCCTCGTCGCCGCGGCTGGATGCGTCTCGAGATGCTGACCTGGGCGCACCCGCGGGAGAGGCCCGGGGGCCCAGGGCGCGCGCTTCAGGGCGAGGTGGGCGTCCACGCCGCGGCCTCGGCCGCAGCTCTTCCTCGGCGTGCCCGATCGGGGCCAGCGCAGCCCAGACATATTGTGAAGGCCTTGCGGCCGGCGCAGCCGACCCAAACGAGGGACGACGACGACCACTGTGCCGACCACGACGACCACGACAGCGACGAGCTGATGACCCTGTCACGCCGCGGCCTCGGCCGCAGCTCTTCCTCGGCGGGCCCGATCGGGGCTCACGCAGCCTGGACATATTCGGAGGCGACGACGGGGACGAGCAATTAGCCCAAGGGCCTCCAGTCGGCGGCGAGCGAGGGGGGAAGTGCGAAGGAGGAGGTCTTCTCAGATCAGAAGCCCCTGCTCCTTCTGAGAGGTTGTCTGTGTTTTCGGGGAAGGCTTAGACCACTGCTCAGAAGGCCGCGGGCATTCCGAGCCTTCTGAGAAGGCCCGCCCCTTCTCACTGCCCCCCATCCAGGCTCGCCGTCGATCCTCGGCGGGCCCGATCGGGGCTCATGCAGCCCAGACGTATTCGAAGGCGACGACGGGGGCGAGTAATTTGCCCAGGGACCTCCAGGTCACAGGGGGGCAAGGGCTCGCAGTGGATCCCGTGGACCTCCAGGACCGCGTGGCCATGGCAGTTGTAACGCTCTTGGCTCTCGCGGGGCGCCGATGATCCATGCCTTCGGCGAAGCTCCCTAGCGAATGCGTTTAATAGGCCCGTCCTTGGAATACATCCGCTAACGGGCGATAATAAAGTACCCCCCCCCCCTTAACCCCCCTCTATTTTTTTATCCCCGCCCACAGGGATCTATCTGTGGGGAAGGCGCGGAGGCCGAACTTGATAATCCACGGAAAAATTGCGGGGATCGAAGTTGCTATCATATCATGTTGATTAGCAGCAACATCAAAAACGCTGAACATGGCCATGGTGGTCTCGCCACACCAGCTTCCGCAATCACGAGCGTGTGGCAGGGCTGTGATATTCTCACCAGTTCAGTTTGCCCACGTTACGACCGTGCGGCAGGGCCATGGGGTGCACTACAAACATGGAGTAAACGTCAGAACGACGTTTGGGTAGGGATCAGCAGTCGCCGAGTGCTGATCCCTACCAAAATGGCCAATCCTCCTGCGCCTCTGCGGGCAAGTAGCCACGAGCCTCGAGATCTTTCGAGTAATCTCTGCGAAGTGCGCCTCTGCGGGCAAGTAGCCACGAGCCTCGAGATCGCTCGAGTCAGGCTTCTGTCGTGCGCCTGGTTTAACCTCCTCCTCCTTCTCCTCCATTGTCGTCGTCATCGTCACCGTCACCGTCATCCTCATCATCATCATCATCATCATCATCATCATCATCCTCATCATCATCATCATCATCATCATCATTCTCAGCATCAGCATCATCATCATCACCATCACCATTACCATCACCACCATCATCATCATCATCATCACCATCATCATCATCATCATCATCATCATCATCATCATCATCATCATCATCATCATCATCATAACTTACCTTCCCCGGGAAAATCCTTCATGATCCCCGCGGGAACCGCGAACTTTATTATCCCAAGGGGTTTAGTATCGCCCCTTTATGGTTATTCACCCTTGTCGTAGCCGCGTCCTTGGCAAGAGCTCCAACTCGGTCGGCGGGTTCGGTCGGGGCTCGCGCAGCCCAGGGGGTCGGGTTCGGGGTGGGGCTTCTGGGGGGCACCACGTTGCCCTCGTCGGGCCCTCTCGGGGCGTGGCGAAGGATCCGTCGAGGTCCTCGCCCGCCCCAAGGGGGTTGAACACCGCGCCCTTTGCAAGCCGCGCCTTTCGGAGTTGTTGACTCCTCCTCGGAAGGTTCGATCGGGGCCCACGTTCAACGCGTGTCGCTGCCATGCCGGCGAGTCAGCAGCGACGGCGCGGGCGTCGAGCGGGTCAGCAGGTCGTCGGGGGCGCAGAGACTGCCTGGGAGACTCTTCGCCCTAGAAGTTCCCGGGGATCTCCCAGGCCCCAGTGTTCACGGCTCACGTGACGGGGGTCGGCCAATCCCCTCCGGCTGACAAGGGTTGGGTTTTTTGGGAGCCGCGTGGGGCTGGTTCCCGCTTTCCGTCCTCCGCTGCCCCTGGTTTGGAGGTACTGAGCGGCCGCGACAGGACCCTCCCGGGCTTGCAAACACCGCTATTATTGTCGTCAGGCTCTCGTCTCTGTGGAGACGGCGGCATCTAAATACCACCGTGCCTGGCCATGCACGGTTGTCCTTCCCGACCCGCCCGATTAGCGAGTTTGGTTATGCCATATGTTTTCTGTTTCTAGCCCCCTCCTGCGACTCTCACTCCTGCTCCATCCTCTTCACTCCCCTTGTTCATTCCTTCCATCCGTCCTTTCGTCCCCTGCCTTAGGAGCTGCCTTAAATTCACGTGGCAGGTAAGGAAGATATACCCCCGAGGGGATTATGATCGAGGACGAAGAAGGCGAGTGCGGAGGGTTCGAGATATAGTGTTGAATGGCACGCGAGCAGGTAAGAGCGATCAGTCTGAAAATCATTGTTTTAGAACTTACACTTCTGACGACCTATATCCTCCACGGTGCACGTGCTATTTTTCCAATTGAACTGCCCCTCCCGGGGCTCGCACCCTGGTTCTATCAGGGAAATTCTTGAGGGTCAAACTGGCTCCCTGGCCCCTGAGCTACAACAACAACAACAACAACGGCTTCCGCCTGATACTTCCTCAAATCTTATTCACACATCGCGCACGCGCGCGGGACTTCCTCACAGTTTATGCAGGAATCGCACTCTCGCGTGGGACTGTCTCACAATTTCATCAGACGCCGCGCCCTCGACACTCAGGAATCACGCCTTCGCTGCTGACTTCTGGCAATTCATTTGGGAATCGTGTCATCGCACGGGACTCCCTCGCGATTCATGCAGGACGCACGCTTCAGCAACCCGCCTGCTCGACCTGGCCGCCAAGCCCCCCCTTCCCGACCCGCCCATTAGGGTCTACCCGCCCATTCTGTCCGTCTGGTTCTGCCACGTGTTTTCTGCTCCTAGCCTCCCTCCTGCTGCGCTCTCCGGCTCCATCCTCCTCCCTCTCCCTTGTCCCTTCTTGCATCGCCCTCTTCTCCCCCGCCTTCGGGGCTGCACGACATACACATTGCAGGTAATAAAGATATACCCCCAAGGGGGTACGATCGAAGGCGAAGATGGCGGGTATCGAGGGTTCGGGATATAAGTGTTGACTGGCACGCGAGCAGATATGAGCGAACGGCCTTGAACTGATTGTTGTTGCTTTTGTTGTTGTTGGTGTTGGTGTTGGTGTGGTTGTTGTTGTTGTTGTTGTTGTTGTTGTTGTTGTTGTTGAACTCTCATTCTTGAAGAATAATTTTTTGTTGATCCCCCCCCCACCGGTGCACATTGTTTTTTTTCGATTGAAGTGCCACCCCCGGGGCTCGCACCTTGTTTTTTCTCAAGGAAAGTCTTCCTGCTCAAACTGTGCCCCTGCCCCCCGGGCTACAACAACAACGGCTCCCGCCTGAGACTTCCTCGATTTTTACTCAGGACCCCCGCTCCCGCCTGAGACTTCCGCGCAATTTACTCAGGAAAGGCGCTCCCGTCTGAGACTTCCTCGCAATGTAATCAAGACCCCCGCTCCCGCCTGAGACTTCCGTGCAATTTACGTGGGAACGGCGCTCCCGCCTGAGACTTCTTCGAATTTTACTCAGGACCCCCGCTCCTGCCTGACATTTCCGCGCAATTGACTCAGGAACGGCGCTCCCGCCTGAGACTTCCTCGCAATTTAGTGAGGACCCCCGCTCCCGCCTGAGACTTCCGTGCAATTTGCTCAGGAACGGCGCTCCCGCTTGAGACTTCCTCGCAACTTAGTCAGGGCCCCCGCTCCCGCCCGAGATTTCCTCACAATGTACTCAGGACTGCGCTCTCGCGTGCGACGTCCTCACAAATTATTCTGGAATTGCGTTTCGGCGCTCAGGAACCACGCACGCGCCAAGGACGCCTTCACAACGTGGTATCTTCCCTCTTCCTTCGTCCTTCCCCCTCCCCTTCCTCCCACTCTCCCTCGTTCTTCCCCTCCTCCTCTTGCAGGGCCCGCGCCAATTCCAATGGCGGGCAGAGAGATGTACGCCCCCGAAGGATTGTCCGCCCGTTCCGGTTTGCCCGTACGTCTAAGCCCGCCGGCCCCAGCAAAGAGAAATAATCCCCCCCGAAAGGGGTGTGATCGAAGACGAAGAGGGCGGGTTTCGAGGGTGTAGGGTATACGTGTTGAATGACTCGCGGGCAAGTAAGAGCGTACAGCCTTAAAATGGTTGTTGTTGTTGTTGCT